ATTTCACAAATGCACGTATTCACATTTGATTAACGCTTGTTTTCATTTTTTTCCCTCCCACACTCTCCCAAAGCTTATCTAGGAAAGTGATTTTTGAGTCGTTATTGTTTCCAACTTTTTTTAGGGTTTAGTGAACTTGAACCTTTAAAAATGAAATTAAAAGAAAACTTGAAAACTTCTTGGATAATTTATGGATATCTTGAAGAAAATCGACTTACATTTATAAGTAATAACTAAATTGATAAATTAAATTCATAAACAAAATGGGAGTGGGACAAATGCGACAAGTACTTCAATGCTAGATAAATGCTTTTCTTGGGAGTGGGACAAATGCGACCTTCTTTTTTGCGCACCCGGACATTTGCGCACCTTTTTTTTTTGCTGGAAAAGGCCTTAGGCAAGTCCGTCGAGCTTCGAAAATATTTCCGAAAATATTCGAGAATTTTTTTTGCAAAAACTGGGAGTGGGACAAATGCGACCTTTTTTTCCGCACTTAGCCCATTAGCGCACCTTTTTTCGCGTTTTAAGCTCTAAAAGCTCTAAAAAAGCTCTAAAAAGCTAATATTAACCAATTTCTATTCCAAATGTTGTTTTTCCAGGTAATTTTAGGGCGTACAATCGAAATTTTGACATATCAGAGCTTGTGGAAACAAACGGACGGAGTTATACAAAGAGAAAAGTCAACAATTTTCTCTAATTTGACCTAGCCGTTTCGTCTTTCAAATTGGTTCCACACGCTCTGTTATATCAAAATTTGAATTCGATACCCTCAAATTACCTAGAAAAACAACTTTTGGAATAGAAATTGGTTAATATTAGCTCTTTAGAGCTTTTTTAGAGCTTTTAGAGCTTAAAACGCGAAAAAAGGTGCGCTAATGGGCTAAGTGCGGAAAAAAAGGTGCGCAAATGTCCGGGTGCGCAGAAAAAAGGTCGCATTTGTCCCACTCCCAACAAAATTAAAGTTCACTCAAGCCCTCAAAAGTCACTCAAGCACTTTGAAACTTAAAACACTTTGAAACTCTTTATTTTAAACCAATTTTGCAGTGACATGATCATAAACATGGAATTCTATTCAATTTATTCTAAAAAGCATTTCATTTTTCTCTGGTGGACTGTAAATTTTTATAGTAATAACATGTGATAATTTTTAATTGGAAATTAGGAAATTAAAAGGTATTAAAGTTCACCAGATAAAACAAAATCTGTTAAATTTGAAACTAAAAGTTTAATAATAAACAAAAATAATCCAAAAATCTCTTTAATAATAAAATAATTTCCAGCGACCTCCAATAAGTTTGTGTATAACTCTTTTAAGTCAAGAAGAGCCCCCAGAATTTGGAATCGACTTCCCAGAGTTTTGAGAGATTCTAATAGTCTCGAAATCTTTAAATTTTCTGTAGTTGATCTTGAGCTTGAAGCTCTAGTGGATTCTTGACGTTATCTGTGCTACCCATATCTGTAGATGATCTTAAATACTTGAGCTATTACATACACTATATCGTGTTGCTTTTTATCGGTCCTTTTCGTGTTTGTAAACTTTTCGTGCTGAAGTGGATTCCTAAGCTTAAGCTCTAGTGGATTCCTAAGCCTAAGCTCTAGTGTATTCCTAAGCCTAAGCTCTAGTGGATTCCTAAGCCTAAGCTCTAGTGTATTCCTAAGCCTAAGCTCTAGTGGATTCCTAAGCCTAAGCTCTAGTGGATTCCTAAGCCTTCCCAGTCATTCCCTTAAGCTCTAGTGGATTCCTCAGCCTTCCCAGTCATTCCCTTAAGCTCTAGTGGATTCTTGACGTTATCTCTGTGCCACCCATATATTACATGCATTATATCGTCTTGCCTTTTATCGCTCCCTTTCGTGTTTAAGTGTATGAATTCATGTGTATTAAATCTTAAATCTTGCGCACTTTATTTCATGCCCTGAATCTAATATCTATCATTTTTATCGACGAATGAACTTTTTTTTCCAGACCCGTCTCACTAATCACCTAATTTTGTGTCATTTGCTATGAGCGAAAATCATTTTATCGATTCGAATACTATCTCGAAAGAACTCCACAAATTACTCTCGATGGCTGACCTCCCATTGCTCACCTCGTTAGCTGTGAGTTTCGAAAAAAAATTTAAAAACATTCTAAAGTTCTAAGCTTGTTTGAAAAATGGTTACGGCTTTAAACTGAATTTTATCTAGTAAAATCACAAAAGTTTAGTTAAAAACTTAAATCAGAAGGATTCTAATGAAAATTTACGAAACTCAATCGAAATCAAACAAAAATTCGAATCGAAAACAACATATATTCTTTAAAAAGCGACTTTTTTTGAAAGAGTTTTTATCTGCGATCATTTCCAGGCAAATTTCCCGTCAACTTCCATTATTTCATCTATGACCAATGCCAATTTACCCTCAGCTTTCTTGCCCGTTCAGAAGATTTCAGAAGATTCGAATCAACAACAATTCGCCCTTTTACAGCTACAGGTTAGTGTTGTTTCATTAAATTAAAGTTGTTTTGTTTAAAGTTCCGTTAAAGTTTGAAGTTTTGTCCAAATTTACATTAAAGTTGTCCTTCTTGATGAAAGAGCATTTAAATTCTAGAGAAATAAAGGGATTTGGATTTGGATTTGGATTAAAACTACCGATAAAACTAATCTCAAGTGCTACAATAACATCTTTTTACTGTGACCTTAAGTGTTTTTAGTTTTTATGAATCTATAAAAGGTTTTGCGTAGAAAGAGAGTAGAATAGAATTAATCAAAAAAAATTTTTGGCAGATGTATTTTGTTGATGATCAAGACTGGCAGCACATCAGTTTTTCTTCAACTTTATCTCTAAACAATAAGCAATTTATCTAATATCATCAAAAAAGTTGAAAAGATAGCTTAGCAAATCATGTAGAATTAAAAAAGAAACGCGTGATCATAATGTTGGGTAGAGTGTGCTCCTTGTTGACAGACAATTTATATATATATATTATATTATATATATATATATATATATATATATATATATATATTCATACTTTATTCAGGACATGAAATAAAGCGTAATCAGTCAGACAATACACAAATCTACACATAAATACATAGAGAAAGATGAGATATTTTACTCGGCGATGTGGAGGCGGGGAGAAAAGAAGATAGATAGAAGATAGGCTTCTTGCTTTAATAACCTCAAGCCATGAATGGGCCAACCCAGTGGAAGAGTGAACTCCGCTAGAGAAGGGATCTCTAGTCAGCTCTAGAGAAGAGACCTCTAGTCTGGGCGCACGGGCTAGGGAAGAGAACCCTAGGGGGGCCGAACCCCACACCCTCAGTTTGGAAGTGAGAACTTAACCAATACACCATGAGGGCCCAATTTGTCAGACAAATTTTCATTGACAACTTTTTTGTCAGACAATTGATCCGACAAACTTCCGACAACGCGTTTTCTAAAAGGTGCGCTTTTTAAGCAAAGCTATAAAGGTCGCGCGAAAAAAATTTGCAAACTTTTCTTAAAATATAGTAATGGATAGTTTTATTTAAGGATTTAGGTTTTTTAGGGCGTGGATTTTTTTTTTTTGGAATGGTTCTAGTGCAAATGTAGACAATAGGCCTGGTAAATTCGTAAATAATATCATTTTTTAATAGTGTTTCTTAACTTTTCCCGTTTTAAATGTTTTCTTTAATTTTACATAGCATTTTAAAGATTTTAAATTTTAGCGAAAGAGTAATAGAAAAAAAGAGCGAAAGATTTTAATGTACATTTGCATTTTGAAAAATTTGCTGATGCAAAGCATAGGGTTACGGTAGCTTATCCTTGGCGCGCGCTTTTTAGAAAACGCGTTGTCTGCAAGGAACACACTCTAATGTTGGGACACTGTTGAGACATAGAGGCTGATTAAGAGCAAAGATCGCTGAGAAAAGTAGCAAAATTTGAAACAAAGACTTTTCAAAGCAGTCAGCCAAGTCGGTCAAGCTGAATTCTAGCTCTCTAAAAAGCTAGTTCCCAGAAGAGGCCTGAAAAAGAAGGGCTAAGAAGCTCATTAACCTCAAAGATCGCTGAGAAAAGTAGCAAAATTTGAAACAAAGACTTTTCAAACCATGTCATAATCAGCCAAGCTTAATCCTGGCTTTCTAAACCCCGGAAAACCTCGAAATCTTTATTGTTCTCTCCACAAGAAAAATTTTTGGATAGGTTTTATGCATTTTTGGATAGGTTTGGGAAGAGACTAAGTACAGGTGGCACAAGAGCAAAAATCGCTAAGAAGCTCTAAAGGTTTTATGTATTTTCAACTCTATCAAATCAAATAAGCCAATGCTCACAATAAATTCGAAAACTCTTTAAATAACTCAAACAATTTGAAACTTGAATTTTTCAAACGCGTTTCTTTTGAATAATCCATGTTCTAAAAGGCTTTTAAAGGCTAAAATTTCAGTTTTTATTTGATTATCCTTATTTTGGCATTATTCGGTGAGAGAATCAAAAGACTCTGTAAATGATACCAAAATTTGGGTGATCATAATTTTGAGACATCTTGTGATCAGATGATCTTGTGATCAGAGAGGCTCATTCAGAGCAAAGATCGCTAAGAGGCTTGTTAACTTCAAAGATTGTTGAGAAAAGTAGCAAAATTTGAAACAAAGACTTTCAAAAGCAATCAGCCAAGTCGGTCAAGCTGAATTCTAGCTCTCTAAAAAGCTCTTTCTTCAAAAACTTTAATCCTTACGTTTTTTAAAATCAAAATCTTTGATTTTTGCGGATTTTGGAGTGGGAAAGCGCTTGGAAATGATCGATTTTTCTTTTTTTTTGTTCTCCCATTGTCTTAAATGCTGTAAAAAGCACATAAAATCACAAAAGTTTAGTTAAAAACTTAAATCAGAAGGATTCTAATGAAAGGAATGAATGAAGGATTCTAACGAAAATTTACGAAACTCAATCGAAATCAAAAAAAAAATCCAAATCGAACACAACACATATATTCTTTAAAAAGCTACTTTTTTGAAAGAGTTTTTATTTGCGATCATTTCCAGATGCAATTGAATGCTCTCCTTCCACTCCTTCAACACCAAATCCATCTCCAACAGCAACAATCCCTTTTCCCGTCCATTTCCACCACTCAATCGAACTCGACGATTGAGGCGCTGAATCTGCAATTGCTGCAAAATCAAATGGTGAGTCAAATCAAATGATCAAATCAAATGATCAAATCAAGCTTCATATCAAAATATCATATTGAAATCGATTTATAAATCGATTTATAATCGACAGCTACATTAAAAGCAAGCACTCTCATTCTGAGTAGCTTGAAACTTACGCTTGCTTGAAGCTTGAAAGCTTGGAACTTGAAACTTGAAACTTTCGAATCTCTTCTTAGCTATCTAAACAAGCTATTCCTTTTGGCATTGTTTTCTGCATTGTTTTCTTTTCATCTCTTCATCTCTTCATCTTTTCATCTCTACAACCTTTTTAACAATATCGATCGATTGCTCATTTATCTCATTTAGACTTTTTAGTTTTTTAGACATAAATTTGTCATTTTTAGTCTTTATCAGCAAGAAGATAGAGCTGCAAAAATTTTTTTGACACTTGCAAAGGTGAAAAACAAAACAAAATGTGAAAAACAAAAAAACAAGTGACTAAACAATTTCAAGATTAAATCCTAATAAAAATCATAAAAAAAGCCAGCCAATGTCCAACGAATCGAGGCACAATTTTGGGATAAGAAAAAAACAACTTATCGGGATGAATAGCTGTTTTCACTCTTGCAAAAGTCAAAAAATTCAAAAAAAAATTTTCAAACGCGTTTCTTTTGAATAATCCATGTTCTAAAAGGCTTTTAAAGGCTAAAATTTCAGTTTTTATTTGATTACCCTTATTTTGGCATTATTCGGTGAAAGAATCGAAAGACTCAGTAAATGATACCAAAATTTTTGGGTGATCAAATGAAAACTGGCAAGCAGATTACTTTGTTTGTTGATTGTTGATTAGTTTGTTTGAAAATGAGTCTCTTTTAGAAAACCAATAGCTGAGTCAAGTTCTCTAATCTCTGAAAAACTTTAGCAAAACAAAGAAAACACATAAGAAAGCATTGTTTTCACCGCCATGTTGTCTTTCTTTTTTCCTTTAAAAAAATCATGAGTCACATCACTTTTTCTTGGTCTTTCTCGCACTTTTTGTTGTTTATTTCTCGATTTTCAAAGTGCGAAAATGAAAATTAGCAAACACTTCGACGTAAATGATCAAAAAGTTTCTATAAATTAAACAAACCGGAGGAGAATAGATGAGAAAACTCTTTGAAAACATCAATAGCTGAAATTATTAACAGATAAACAAAACTTTGACATTAAAAAAACTTTACAAAACAACAACTCGACACCAGTACGTTTATTTCTAAACGTTTAGGTACCAAATTAAAGTAGAGAAAATGGGTAATCTTTTGAGCTATTACACATGTTTTTAGCTTTAACCAGCGCTTAGAAAAAAATGATTGGAAAGTGGCAAAAAAGCCGATTTTTTATCATTTTTAAATTATTTTTTTCTAAGCACTGGTTAATGCTAAAAATACGTGTAATAGCTCAATAAATTACGCATTTTCTCTACTTTTATTTGGTACCTAGGCGTTTAGAAATAAACGTACTGGTGTCAAGATATGAGCGCTTATTTAAACCATATAAATACCTTGAAAACAAAAATTCTTCAATTTCACTAGCTAACAGGTTTTATGACTCGAAAATTGCTTAATTTCACAATGTGTTTTCAGCTAATCGAACTGAATGTACTAGTGATTGCTTTAAATCAAAAAAATCTGCTTTAAATCTTTCCCCAAATTGAAAGCATTCAATTTTTTCTTTCTTTCAATTTTCCTCGACTCTAAAAACCATTTTTTCCCTAGTTTGCCCTTTGTGTTTTTCGCTTTACATTCTCATTTCCCATTTTATTTTTCTTTTTCCCCATTCCCAAATGGAAATTTGCTAATCTAGGAGAGAAAAAAAGTGTTTAGTCTGAAAATATTTACACCTTTTTCACGGTGAACTTGTCCTTTTCCCATCTAATGATCTTTAGTGAATTGAAAATGATTCAAAAATGATTGTACTAGTTGTACTGTTGTACTAGTTGTACTAAAACATGAACTCCATTGTTCTGTGTACAGTATACATTTAAAAAAAATGAAAAAGAAACCCGTACAAGACAAACATTTGATTCAAAAAGTTCAACAAAGTGTACTTTTCTGCCTTTTTGCACTTTTAGCAAGAAGCATTGGCTCAAATTACTGTGGATTTGCTTTGAAATCTATGAAAGAAAAGCTCATGTTTCAAACTAAAGCACTTAAAGAAGATTTAAGCACATACTTTTTACATAGAAATCAATATTCCTAGTCTATTAAAGAAATTGAATGCGTTAAAGGATTTGACTCCGTTAAAGGATTTGAATGCGTTAAAGAATTTGCATTTTTTTTCTTTCAAAACCTTTTTGTTCTTTTATTTTCTAGCATCTTTCAGCAGCAACACAGAATTTTCAAGTTTCAATTTAGAAAATCAATGAAAACTTGAAAGTTAAATAAACATTAACTCAAAAGATCGATCAGTTTAACTGTTTTTAAATCACTTCATCATTTTGTTAAATAAAATTAAATCCATATATGTTTCTAATGCTTATTAAATCCAATTAAATCCTATAAAATCCTATAAAATCTATTTAAATCCTATAAAATCCTATAAAATCTATTAAAATCCTATTAAATCCTATAAAATCCATTTAAATCCAATTAAATCCCATAAAATCCTATTAAATCCTATTACCGTATTTACTCTATTAGTGGGGTCCTCTCTAATAGTGGGGTCGTCTGGAGGGGGGTTGAAAAAAGAGTGGGGTCCTCTCGAATTGGAAGAAGATATTGGTAACGAAAGTGATACATCAATTGTTGATCTCTTGGATTAGTTCTTTTACTGTTTGTTAATGTTTTGTTACGGTTAAAGCTAAATAAAATATGAAGCCAAACTTGTTTTGTCAAGAATTTCGGAGAAAAATTGATATCTTTTCAATTTAAAACTTTGGTTTTATGTTCTTTTAAATTTCTCTAATAGTGGGGTCCTCTCTAATAGTGGGGTCGTCTGGAAGGGGATTGAAAAAATAGTGGGGGACCCCACTAATAGAGTAAATACGGTAAATCCATATTAGGATAGCACATACTTTTTACATATAAATCAATATTCCTAGTCTATTAAAGGACTTGACTCCGTTAAAGGATTTGCATTTACAAAAGAAAACTTTTATCCTCTTTTTGCACACTTCTTTGCACTTTTCCGAGTACATCTTCTTGAACATTTTTCATCGAAAATCCCCAATTTTTACATATAAATCGCTGAGTTTAAATGTTTTTAACTTCAGCGTTTTTTTGGATAATATTTTCGCAAACTTTAAATCCATATTCTCCTCCAAACTTTTCTTACTAGTCGTCCTTTCCCCCTAAAAACTTGTCATCTTTCCCCTTCTTGTTTACGCCGTTCACCTTTCTCCATTTGTGATTGGCTTTTTGCTCTCAAAAACGCATATTTTTGCCCTTTCTGTTTTTTTTGGCAAAATACCCAATCAAAGAACTTTTCGATGATCAAATCAACAAATTTATACAAATAGAATAACTGAAAAATGGGTATTGTTAACAAAAGTACATTTTGGTACTAGATCTATGAGAAATGTTGGGGATGGGACAAATGCGACCTTTTTTTTGCGCACCTGGACATTTGCGTACCTTTTTTTTGCTGCAAAAGGCCTTAGGAAAGGCTGTAGAGCTTCAAAAATGTTTAGAAGGGAATCGTATGCGTAGATTCCGAATTTCGACAAATCAGACCTCACTGACACGTCAAATTTGGGCTAAAAGGCAAAATCTACGCAACTTAACGCTTTTTCGCAGTTTTTGCCTTTCAACCCAAATTTGACGTGTCAGTGAGGTCTGATTTGTCGAAATTCGGAATCTACGCATACGATTCCCTTATATGGAAATATTTTCGAAGCTCTACGACCTTTCCTAAGGCCTTTTCCAGCAAAAAAAAGGTACGCAAATGTCCAGGTGCGCAAAAAAAAGGTCGCATTTGTTCCACCCCCGAAATGTTCGATGGGATATGTGAAAAACTAAATATACTTAAAGTTTTGAAATTTTACATGCAAAAGTAGAAATCTTTTTTAATCTGGGCTAGGATGAGACTGGATTTTACGTTTTCTTGGAAAACGTTTTCCCTTGTCCCTGAAAACGGTCCTTTCGGTTTTCTCGGAAAATTTGCGTTTTCTTTTTTACTAACAACGCTAGGGTTGAATTCATTTTAAAGAATTTGAAACATTTAAATTGCAAACACCAATATTTATATTGATTAGATCAGTCTTAAACACAAAATGATTAAAGATTTGAGTCTGAAACTTAAATAAAGTTTACTAATGTCATTCAAAGTTGCTTTAAATTTAACTAACTCTTTATTTGAATAATTTGAAACATCATTCTTTTACCCTGGCTAAAATTGGATAAAAAATATGGAAATTTTTAAAAAACACAAGAAGAACCATTTCAAACTGGAGCTGGTTATCGAAAGTCAAAACTTGAACTATTAGGCTGTCTAGAAAGTCATTTCGTTCCTTTTTTGGACTTCCGTTTAAACTAAACAAACCAACAACTACAAAAACAAACAAAAAAAACAAACAAGTCATCAACAAACAAAAGAAAGCGATCAACTAATCTACAGTACTTTAAGCCAGTACTTTCAGTCAGTACTTTAAGCCAGTACTTTAAGCCAGTACTTTAAGCCAGTACTTTCAGCCAGTACTTTTAGCTAATAATTCACTTTTAGTCACTTTCCACATCAAATCCACCGTCTCTATTAACGGATCCAGCAATTTTCCTAAATGACAATCACACAAATCCTTTCGGAAACAAATCGAGCTCAACGATAAACGTTTCGCACGGAACACAGGCAAGTGATTGATGAATAAAGCCTTGAAGAATTTCAAACTAATCTTCACCTGTTTGTACTCTTGTTTTACAACTCATTTACTACATTCTAAAAGCTAAGCAAATAAACTTTCAATTTCAGATTTCATGCTCAACCTTATTGCCCCCGAAAAGCCCGGAATTACGAAGACGGAAACGCTCACGGGCTAGCGCTGAACCACAGGTTTTAACTAATACAACTAGTACAACAGTACAACTAGTACAACAGTACAGCTAGTACAACAGTACAGCTAGTACAATGGTACAGCTAGTACAACAGTACAACTAGTACAACAGTACAGCTAGTACAACAGTACAGCTAGTACAATAGTACAGCTAGTACAACTAGTACAACAGTACAACAGTTCAACTAGTACAACTAGTACAACTAGTACAACTAGCATAACAGTACAACTAGTACAACTAGTACAACAGTACAGCGAGTGCAACAGTACCACTAGTACAACTAGTACAACATAGTACAACTAGTACAACATAGTACAACTAGTACAACAGTACAACAGTACAACTAGTACAACAGTACATTCTACGCAAATCAATTCCTCTATGGATTCAATGACTACAAACTTCTAACAAAATTCATCAGTGACCTTAGACTTTCTTGGAGTTTCAAAAAAAAGTCTTGGTACTGGACAAACTCTATTCCAGACGTTTTTCTAGTCTTGTTTAACATTTTCTGACTTAATCAAATATGCTTAATTGATTGACAATATTTTAGAACATTTAAACCAAGTTTTCAGCTTATTTTAAGCTTATTTTTAAGCTTAGCAACACTGAAAAGGCAAAATTTCAGCTAGTTTCACAAAATATTAATAGAAATTGTTCACAAGTTTCTAGAAATATTATCAATAGATTCATTATTAACCCAGAAAAAGTAAAATAACGTTGGTAAAAGAGTTAAAAGATAGAATATGACCAAATCAAAGTCAAAATGCCGAAGTTTTAAAGTTATCCAGCTTGTACGCTGAATATCAGATTAGCCATTTCAGTTAAATAAACAGTTTAAGTTTTATGAGAACTCAAGAAAAGCATTTATCTAGTACTGGTTAAAGACTTATTTAAGTACTGGTTAAAGGCTTATTTAAGTACTGGTTAAAGGCTTATTTAAGTACTTGTTAAAGACTTTAAATAAACAAATAAAGAACAATGAATCTTTCATTCATTTATCACTGTTTTAGATCTCCGTTCTCCGTCAACTCTGCGACGATGACGACGGAGAATTGCTGAAAAATGCAAAAGCGCAAAGCGAAGAAGCGATTAATCGATCGAGGATCACGGATTGTGAGTTATATGATCCATTAAAGATAATGATACCCATTAAAGATTTCCAATTAGATTTGAAGTTTAAAAAATTGAAACTCACAAACGGAAAAGAGTTCAAATTCAAAACAGAAACAGTAAAACCTCATTATTTGAATTTAAATAAATTGAAACCTGAATTTTATCATGTTATTTTTTTAAAAATAGCTTTGAACTGTTACTGTGGTTTAAAAAATGTAACCAACTGCCAAAACAGTCAAAAATGATCACTTTATGATTGCAGAAATAAAAAAGACGCTGAAAAAGATAGCAAAATTAAAGGCGACGAACTTGTTTTATCATTGATTTAATTGAAACATGACTTTTATTAGGCTAATTTTTCATTTTAGCCATCAATCTGACTCAGATCCACCAACATCCGTCAAGATTGGGAATCAAGGAAGAGGTGATTTTGAAAATTGATTGAAATCCATTCTTCAACTCATAAGCAGCTCTAAACAAAGTAAACTTATCGAAAACTTTAATTGAATTGGGTTGGTAAATTGAAAACTGCCGGACTTTGAACTAAAATTTATTCAACATAAAACCATAAATTCATTCCAAATAATTTCCATTATTATTTCCATTATTATTGACGACTTCTGCCCATTTTACAGGCAATTTGCGGATTCCTCTTTCGTAGTAGGACTTTGGTTTGTGTGTGAGACAAGTGTGAGACTCAAAAATGGAGGACTGGAGATGTCCCAGTTTGAGCATTTGAGCACTTTCTTCAAAAGAAACCCATTTTGGTGTCAATAGAAAAGTTGTAGAGAATCAAAAATTAGGCTTATAGCCAAATTTCCAAAAAGATACACTTAGTAGTTTCGCTTAAAATGCAAGTTTTGTGAAAATTTGGCATTTCTTTTGTAAATTTGGCATTTCTTGAAAACCAGTTTTTGAATCGTTCTGAAAATTTGGATATAAGCTTGATTTTTGATTCTCTACAACTTTTCCATTGACACCGAAATGGGTTTCTTTTGAAGAAAGTGCTCAAACTGTCACATAGGACAATAGCCCGCAGTTTTCAATTCACCAACCCAATAAATACCGTAATTATTCTAATAGAAGTACCCCTATAGTGACGATCGGAGCGTCTAACTTTAAACGCTTCGTTCTCAGCGCCGTTTCATGCTACAGTGTGCGTTTGGGTATCAAATGATAGCTCTGAATCTCAGCTATATTTTGACATTAAATATACATCTTAAGAAAATATGCACGCTTAGAAAAACGAATTGCTGAAAAAATTTTGCGACTACGCGGCTATACAGAGGTGGTGCTTCTGCTAGAATAATTACGGTAGATTGTATTTGCAAAAGGACAACAAAGAAAGCTGATAGTGTTGAAAACAGAAAACATATTTATTAAGGTGCAGGATGCTGCTTATACTCGAAAAAAGTTGAAACTAACATTTTTTTACCAAAGCAAACTCGAAAAATCCAAATTTTTCCTGAAAAATCAACATCTTTCTTTAGTTTTTTCTCTTATACTGACTTTAGATTAAAGTTTACTAGTTAGGTAAACGTTTTAAATTTAACTTTATCAGCTAAAACCCTGAAATTCTTATAAGTTATATTCTTATATGTTATTACAGTTATTCATTCGATCCGAATTCCTAATAATTTCAGTTGTGCGTTAAAGCCGAGCTCATCTTTACATTGAAATACATTGAATTAAATATTAAATACTTGAATTACATTAAAACACACATTTTTCAGCCGGTTCTATTCAACGAGGAGCGCAAACCATTGAGAAAAATCATCAAAGAGGAGGATTTACCGGAAACGGTTGGACCCGATAGCCCACTGAGACATCACCCGAAATATTTTGTGAGTTTATAAAACAAATTAAGCTTAAACAAAACAAAACAAGCTTAAAATTAGCTCGCAAAGTCTATAAATGGTAATTGATTGCGTGCTTTTCGCGATTTTTTTTGCAATATTTCAGAAACAGGCAATATTTGTTTTCAAAACTTTCATTTTACCCAAACTTTTCACTCAAAATCTGTAAAAATCCCTCAAAATGGGTTTCAAAATTCGAAAATTGTTTAAAGTGTTACCTTGTAAGGCTGTAAGCTTTTTTCTTTTTACAGAAAACTACAGCTTACTCTGTAGTTACTTTATGTTTAATGCTTAATAGTTGATTAAGTTGAAACAGAGCTTTTAAAATTACCCAATTTTTAGCTCAAAGCTTCAATTTGAACGCTTTTAAGTACCCTTTTGTAACGCCGGGCTCTTTTCGTTGCTGGCATCTCCTCGAGGATATCCCTATCCGCAACCCATTTTCTAATCATTCCTTCAGTCACATTAAAATGAATAGCTGCCGCTAATGTTCCATGCGCTTCCCGGTGCTTCACCGCATCAAACTTGAAAGCCGCCGTATAAGACTTGCGGCGTTTCTATGATGATTTTTATGATTTATACAATAAAAAATATAAAACGTAAGGTTAAAAAATAAAAAAAAGAAAAAAAATTAATATCCATAACAAATGTTCAGAAAAAAGTATTTTTTTAGCGAAAACCGCTCTTATCTATGGAATTTTAGGGTAGTTAAAATTGAATTTTTGCTTAATCAAATTTTTTTAAACTACAAAATTCATTTAAAACTTAATCCCATTGAACTTAAAAAGTCTCGAAATCCGAATTTTTCGAAAGAAATGAGTGCATGGGCACTCAAAAGTTTCGCAAAAATGAGAAAAACACAAAGTACTACCGTAATCCTTGAAGAAAAGGGCATCTTTTAGTGTAAGATCGTAAAGAATGAAAAGAGATTAGCTTGTTTATCGTGAATTCGAGCCATGACCAGAAAATTTTTGAAATGTTTACACAAAAATTTTCGAATTTTCGATAATGGGACTTTTTTTAAATGATTCTAGAAAAACTGGGATTTAAATAGTTATTCTAAAGGTAATAATTGAGTTTTTGCTTAAGTTGAAACATTAATTCTTTCAGTTTCAGCTGAAATGGTAAAAATTTGGGTGTTAAATATAGTACAGTGATTAAAAAGCGAAGTAAATGAGAAAAAATGAAGAATTTAAAAATCATGTTTCAATTTAATTAATGAGAAGACAGATTTGCGGCCTTTAATCTGGCTCCCATAATTTTTGGTCAAAATTTGAGTAATTTTTTCTTAAACTCTTGACTTTTTCTTTACTTTAAACTGAAGTTAAACTAAATTTAGATTTAAAGAATCTAACTGATTTTTTGAAACCAAAGGAATTTCACTACAAGCTTGAAAATGAACTTTTTAGAAAAAAACCCTAAAACATTAGTGTTCAAATACTTGCAAATGAACTCAAACAAATTGAAACATCCTTTTTTATCAAATTTTGTCAAAAGAAATCTGAATTCTAAAAGAAATTTGATTATAAATCCTTTGGAATGGGATATTTCTTTGGGAATTTCTTTGGGAATTTCTTTAAAAACAATCTTTTTCAAACAATTGTTACTATTGCTAAATTGCTGAGTGTTTTAAGCTCAAAATACTCATCCAGTTTAACTAATCCTTGCAATATATGTTTCTTGAATTGAAAAACTAAATTCTTTCAGTTTTAACTGAAATGGTAAAAATTTGGGTGTTAAATATAGTACAGTGAATAAAAAGTGAAGTAAATGAGAAAAAATGAAGAATTTAAAAATCATGTTTCAATTTAATTAATGAGAAGACAGATTTGCGGCCTTTAATCTGGTTTCCATAATTTTTGGTCAAAATTTGAGTAATTTTTTCTTAAACTCTTGACTTTTTCTTTACTTTAAACTGAAGTTAAACTAATTTTAGATTTAAAGAATAAAGAATCTAACGGATTCTTTTGAAACCAAAGGAATTTCACTACAAGTGTGAAAATGGTCTTTTTTAGAAAAACACTAAAACATTAACGTTCAAATACTTGCATAACCAGAATTTTTTGGAATTTTTACACAACTGCAAATGAACTCAAACAAATTGTAACATCCTTTTTTATCAAATTTTGTCAAAAGAAATCTGAATTTTAAAAGAAATTTGACTATAAATCCTTTGGAATGGGATATTTCTTTGGGAATTTCTTTGAAAACAATCTTTTGTCAAGCAATTGTTACTATTGCTAAATTGCTAGAGTGTTTTTAAGCTGAAAATACTCATCCGGCTTAACTAATGCTTGCTTGCTTGCAATATAGCTTCAATAAACCTAAACGGAACTCATCTTTTGTCACTCATCGCAAACTGAATACAAATGTAACTTTTTCTCCAAAGTACTACCATTTAACTTTTTTGAAACGAATGAAATTTTATTGAGAAAGATTGGGACTTTTTTTTGAAACGATTTGGAGTAAGCGTTGATTTCAAAGTACTTGTAAAGAGTTGAACAATTTGAAACATTAGGGTTTGAATTTAGCTTTCAAAACTCACCGTTTCTTGCTTAAACGTTTCTTGTTTTTTTTGGCTTTGGAATGGAGTAGTTTTTAAAAGCGAACAATCATTAATGTCCAATAAAAACATCAAAAAAATCATTAATGTTCAACTAAAATGTAATTTGGTGTACAATTTGAAACAATCATTTCGTTTTCCAGAATCAAAACCGCTTGAAATGTCCGGAAGAGGAGCTGCTGCGGGGATTCGAAACGATTACAACACTTTTCATGATGAATGGATATCTTCCGGATGAGATGAGAGAACAGTTCAATCAAAGGTTTGCTCGTTTACGAATTTCTACTGCACCTAAACCTTAAAATCCTACTTTGAAACAGAACTTTATTGGATTAAGGCTATTTATGCTGATTCATAAATCCCAAGCATATAAATTTACTTTACAAGATTTAAATTTGGCTTTTCGTGTTTGCTTTGGTAAAAAAATGTTAGTTTCAACTTTTTTCGAGTGTAAGCAGCATCTTGCGGCTTAATGAATGTTTTCCTACACACTATCAAACTTTTTGAAACACAAGTTTTTCATTTTCAAAAAAACTTCAAAATCTTCAATCTTCAAATCTTTTAAAGAAAAATTGCTAAAAAAATCCCATTCTCAAGCGTTAGAAGTTGAAATCAAGATTTTCTGTTATTGAAGCTTTTCTGTTTTGTTATTTTCTGTTATTAAAGTTGTTATTGAAGCCAAAAAGCTAAAAGTGCCCGTAAAAATTAAACTCACTGCTGTTTTAATAAATAGCCCAATTCAAGCTAATCCAAAATATTCACCAATCTAGTATTTGAAACTATTGAAAACTAATCGTGCGTATGGTAATATGGTCGTGCAAGTTAGCTTTTATCGACTTTAGGAAAGCATTTATCTAAGCGCTTAACAAAACAACGATAAAAAAAGATAAAAATCGCCATCTGTACCTAAATGGAACCAATTCTGTACCCTAAATGGAATAAATTCTATATCTAAATGAAACCAAACCTGTGCCTAAATAGAACCAAATCTGTACCTAAATGAAACCAAATCTGTACCTGAAAAAATGACTCAAATGATATGTAATAATAATACTTTATTCAAACGATAAAGTGAAAGAAATCATAGAGAAATGCACAGTGATACTTAATCATACAATACATACTGAAATCAATAAGCCAATTACTTACGGCAAAGAGCCACTAGATCTAAAGCATCGATACGTTTCTTGAATATGAAAAGCGACTGAATTTCTCGTATGTCGTTTGGGAGCAAGTTCCATAATCTAGCGGCTCTAACGGGAAATGAATTTGATAAAGAGGCATTGGAAGCAAAGGGAATTTGCAAAAGGAATGAGCCACTTCTGGGCCCTGACCGCGGTTTAAATTTGAAAAAGTCTATAAACAAAGGGCTAATCTGTTTACTACGGAGGATTTTGAAAGTTTCGACTAAATCGCCATTTCGAATAAAAATCGCCATCTGTACCTAAATGGAACCAATTCTGTACCTAAATGGAATAAATTCTATATCTAAATGAAACCAAACCTGTGCCTAAATAGAACCAAATCTGTACCTAAATGAAACCAAATCTGTACCTGAAAAAATGACTCAAATGATATGTGGCACAAAAAATTTGGCGCTTTTCCTAGCACCTCGAAATCCACAAGTATTCGAAAACAGTTAAGAAATAACAATTAGCTTATATGAATTGCTTATATGAATTGCTTATACAAACTGCTTACAACCATTATTTCAAATTTCCTTTAATTTCAGAAAGATCAAAGCCTTGTCTGCTCCCGCTTCACCCACCCCAATCAGCACAAATCGGACGGTAAAACCAGAACCAGAGTGCCCGATTGAAGACTTCATGGAACAGGTCATTTCACGGGAACTTGTCACTTGTGAATAAAAGATTCTAAGAAAATATTCTTCCTGTTCTTTCTATTCTTCCTGTTCTTCCTGTTCTTCCTATTCTTCCCGTTCTTCCCATTCTTCCCATTCTTCCCATTCTTCCCATTCTTCCCATTCTTCCCATTCTTCCCATTCTTCCCATTCTTCCCATTCTTCCTTCCTCTTTCCCATTTGTCTAATCCATAGCTTATCTCTTCAACTGAACTTCCTCTATTATTCCCAAAAGTTTACTGTTCTACAAATTTTAAACAAAAAAAATTGCTAGAAAAACCAAAAAATCAGAAAATTTTTGATATTTTCTATCCATTGTGTGCATATTTTCTCGCGATTTTTCTCCATTTTTCGCTTTTTTTTCCCAATCCAGTCAGTCATTCCCATTGAATTGTGTCATTTTTGAAAATTTGATTTTCACTCTTTTTTTTGCCCTAGGCCAATTTAGATCTTTCTCATTTCAATCGTGTATGTTTTTTCGAAAATTCTAGACAATTTTCTAATTTCTCCTTTTGCGGATAAATCTCAGCTCATGATTTTTCGCGTTTTTTCGCGTTTTTTCGCGTTTTTTCGCGTTTTTTTTGCGATTTAGTCCCCTCTTTTTATAAAGATTTTAGTTTTTTTTCCAATTTTTCTTGTTATGGCTTTAAATTTGGCCCAGTTTCCCATTTCTTTTTTCTTTTTTCTTTTTTCTTGCTTTGTTTTGTGATTGGTAATTGGTTGAAATTTTTTTGTACTTAGAAATCGTAAATCTTACAGTTATTGAAACTTGAAGACATCTAAAATTATTTGAAAATGCAATGGGAAAAGATTGATTTCAATTTTGAGAACTGATCAACAAAAGCGCCGCTTACAAACAGCGCTGTTGGCGCGCAAACGCATGGCAAAAGCAGCGCCTCCATCGCTAAGTTTCTATGTGTTTCTTATTCTTATTGAATGCAGAATAAAATTATCTACATTTTGCATACTTTGAGATCACTTAAAACAGAACCAGTGCCGAGCAAAAGCTCAATTAACCTCTTTTTGGGTCCGTTTTTCCTTTTTTGGCATTTTCTTATTCCAGATTTGTTCAAAAAGGCTCCAAAAGATTCAAGTAGATAGCTAAGTTTTTTTTCTACATTCAATGAAAAGAAGAAACACAAATAAACTTAGCCACAAACGCATAATTTTGATTGGCGCTGTTTTGAGCTTCCTCAACTCAGCTTCCTCAACTTTTCTTAATTAAAGACACGATAAAGTGGTACAGAAAGTGGTATAGAAAGTCTTTAACACATTCACGACGATCCGATCCACCGGTGGGCTGCATTAGCAACGATTATTTTCCGTGTCAACTCAAGTTTTTAACGACTTTTGTTATTTGCTCTGGAAAGTTCTTGATAACTTTATACTTGTTTTCAAGAGGAGATTCAGGGCTATCGAATGACTATAATAGTTTCTATGACGTCATTGGATTTATAGAGTTCCTGGAAACTATCGATTATCGTTGAAATTTTCATGCTTCAAAATATTCAATCATTATCTCAACAACCAAATTCAATGAGCAATTTAAATATAATTTAAATACTAAGAATGAAGACACGCAAATATCGAAGATCATTGAGGAATTGATCCTTTAGATGACGTCATGATTTATAGAGTTCCTGGCTTGAGGTTTTAATGAATTTAGTGATTTAAAGATAGAGATTGATAGAGAAACTGTCCATTACCAAGAGGAGATTCAGGGCTATCGAATGACTATAGTAGTTTCTATGACGCCTTCGGATTTATAGAGTTGTTGGGAACGACCGATTACCGTTGAAATTCTTCCACCATAACCTGTCAAGTTGAAACAGAGGCTTTTTCGCTGAGCCTTCAACGCAAATTTGGTGATTTTGTGAGTCAACGCAGTGCATTTTATACTAGAGTTGCTAAAAACAAGCAAAAAGAATCTTTACAAATCATGTATTTATTTCAAGATGGGTTTCTTTTAATTTTCGACACTCGACGAATCGGTTTCGGAAGGAAAAGTTGATGAGTCGTATGACTAAACAAATAAAGCATAGCATAAAAATCAGTGTTTCAATTTTTGGGGTTTTCATTCGAGCTTGTCGCAATCAATTTGAGGTTCGAATTCGAATTTGTCTGAGCTCTTGATTAAGATCAATCTATTGAACAATAGTGAGAGTAATGAATAGAAATTTATAGAAATTTGGAAATTTCCAATAGTCGTTACTTTGAATTTAGAAATCTTACCCATGTGTTCATCATTGGCGTTGAAGAGAGCATCTGAAAAGCCACTCAAGCTTATCTCATGCAATTCGTGGGTAACGAATTGCATGAGATTGCAAATGGCAGAAATTCCTAGTGTAACTTTTTTTAAACGGAATTGATTCCTAAAACTTTAACACATTCACAACAAAGCCATTTTGTCTTGGCTGCCGTTTCGAACAATCTATGTTAGCTGTAGATCCGAAACTTTGTAGCTAGAGGCATTTTGGGATAGAGAATTTGAATCCGTTATCATTTTTTAAGCAACTTTAATCTTCGAGCTAATACGGTCAGCACAAAACTCTCTAAAACTTGCCTAATAAACCAAATTGGAGAAAAAAAAGCGCAACAAGCTTTATATTCTTAGAGGCCGTTTGCCAGAAGTCACGCGATTATGTAAACATGAAAATTTTCACGCTTTTGTCATCACACCTTCTGGCAGACGGCTCTAGATATGGAGTTGGGTAATTAAAGCTGATTAAAAAGTTAATGAGTCGTATGACTAAACAAATAAAGCATAACATAAAAATGAGTGTTTCAATTTTTGGGGTTTTCATTCGAGCTTGCCTCAATCAATTTGAGGTTTGAATCCAAATTTTTCTTAGCTCTTGATTAAGATCAATCTATTGAACAATAGTGTAAGTAATGAATAGAAGTTTGTAGAAATTTGGAAATTTTCCAATAGTCGTTACTTTGAATTTAGAAATCTTGCCCATGTGTTCATCATTGGCGTTGAAGAGAGGTTTATAGAGGTCCTAGCTTGAGATTTTAATGAATTTAGAGATTTATAGAGAAACTCTCCATTACCAAGAGGAAATTCAGGGCTATCGGATGACTATAATAGCTTTTATGACGTCATTGGATTTATAGAGTTCCTGGAATCCATCGATTACCGTAGAAGTTTCCCCACCATAACTAATCAAGTTGAAACAGAGGCTTTTTCATTGAGCATTCAACGCAAATTTGATGAATTTGTGATTCAACGCAGTGCATTTTATGCTAGAGCTGCTAAAACCTTGAGAAAATTTGAATCAAAGTTGAACTACCTGCCTGAAAAAGTTGATCAACTTAGATGGTCTATAACTCGAAGTATAGTTTCGACTCGAAGTTTCGGCGTGTTAAATCCAGCCTCAAAAAGGTGTTAAATCCACTTATGGCACACCGGTAGGCCGTTATTGTTGCAAATTTGTTGAAGAGCAAAATCATTGTAGTCAAGAAAATGGATTAGTTGAAAGATTACGTTTTTAAAAAAAACAGATTAGTTGCAAGGAAATTAAAGTTTTTGATACGATAGGATTTGAACGTTTTTCAAGATGTTTTTTAACAAAAAAATACAAATTCTCCTTTTAGAATCCCTTCCAACGCTGTTTATTTACTTGAGAAAAGGACGAAAGTTTAGAAAAGAATCAAATTTTCCTTTCCCAATCCAAACTTTCCAAAGAATGAGCTCATTTTTTGGAGAAAATCGGTGAAAACGATGAAAACGATGAAAACGATGAAGAAATCATGAAAAATTTCATCCTCCAAACATCAACAACAAATATTTGAAGGAAAGAAATGTGAATTTCAAATAAACACCCGTTAAAAGGAAAGTTTTCTTTTTGAATTCTGATCTTTCCTTGAGTTTTCTGAGAATTTATCGAAACTTGTTTAGTTTTCTCGCGAACAAATCATCGGAAATGATCGGAAATGATCGGAGAAATGAGAAAAGTGAGAAATTGACAATTGAATTGAAATTGAATTAGAGAAAAAAGAGAAACGACAAATATTGAGGCTATATATGGGTCTCAAAGAAAATTTTGTTACTAAGGAAACTTTAGAAATTGTTATTTTCTCAAATAATGAAAGTCCTTGCTGCTTTCCTGGTACTTTTCTTGATGATCTCGATGACTTTTGCGGCTCGAAAAACCACGCCATTGGTGAGTGAATTGGAATCCAAAAAAGCACCATTTTTGATAAAACAACTGTAATCTGACCGCCAATTTTCATTTGATTAGCTTAATTCTGGGATTAACTCAATTTTGAGATTAGCTTAATCATTGACTGATCAGTCTTAATCTATTTTCCAAAAAGGCATCTTTTTTCTAGGAAAACTAGTCGTACGACTAGTTACTAGGAAAAACTAGGAAAACTAGTACGTACGACTAGCAAAACTAGTACGTACGACTAGGAAAACTAGTACGTACGAGCGTCCTTTGGCAGCGGCGCAAAGAGCTACAAGAAAGCCATTAAAGGTGAAAGATCTAAAAACAAACCAAACAAACATTGTTCGGTGGGATGCTCATTCTTGATTGTCATCGTCTCGGCGTTGGGGGAAGTCATGGGGAAAATCATCCTCTAAATTCAAAAAACCGTCGCCAACTTGGGGGAGGTCTTTGGGGCTGGTAAACCCGAAAAATCCAAATCAAAGAAACAAAAACATATCAAAACCAAACACCCACCGGATCCTTCGTGATCTTGGCACCCTACCGTAATCAAATGACTATTTTCATTCGATTAGCTCAATTTTCGGATCATTGACTGTTCCTTGTGATTCTTTCATCGAATAATCCAAAAATTTGGCTGATCAAATGAAAACTGGCGGTTGGATTACGGTAGTTTGTCTACAAGTGCAAAGAGGAGGTTGCGCTTAAAATATTAGCGTTCCAACCCTATTCAATTAAGCTTCATGATTGGCAATCTTAATCCCGGCTTTTGACTAAAGAATTAGTTGAGCTTTTCAGAAAGTAACCCGAAAACTTTTGAAACAAACATTTT